TTTTCCTGCGGTAAACTCGTTTCCAGTCGACGAGTACGAATGAAGCCACGAGAGCTGACGTATATTTCGATTGGACTTGGACAGTTCTCTCTATATATGCGATCGCTTTAGAAGCAGTGTTTCATAACAATATCTTTATACAAGGCATATATCCACAGGTTGCAGTTCATTATCTCTCACACACATATCGTTTTAATTGTCTCGGAATATATTTTCTGATCATTCTGAATGTGTGATTGCATATGGGGAGAAAAATGTATCTCTATATGTAATTTTACAATTCTTCAACTTTGCGTTTTACATTTTAACGTTTTTATATATAACAGGATTGTATATATGGTGTGTAAGAGACTCGAAACAGGAAACTTTTGTCTTGGTTTATTTCAGTACTAGTTAGAGCGCTTGTTCCTTTGTTATTTCAGTACATAGACTTTTTGTAATCGATGAAAACACACACAGCTGCTGCGGCACGTAAAGTAAAGTAGCGAAAAAGAACTAGGAGCCGGTATGCTTACAACCATGAAAAAGCGTCACATCGCCTTTACACCTATAGTTTGGCGTCAGGAGGAAAAAGAACGCTCGCGCTCGCGCGTATATATGTGTGTGTTCATGAACGTGAAAAGCGGACGACGAAGAGAGAGAGAGCTTCTTTTTTCCGAAAGCTCCAGACTCCCGCAAACGTGACTCAGATGAAAAATCGTCTCGCCACCTCTTTTCGTCCTTGCGAATTACCTACGTCGGCGGGAAAGCGGTTTACGTAACGTCTCTGACGTTTCTTCAAGAATACGTGGCACACTTACCAATACAACGCGTTACAGCTGCGCCGGTGATTTTACCTAGTAAATATCAAAACCACTTGGAACTACATGGAAACTTATCTCGGTAGCTTTTCGCGAAAGAAGGGAAAAAAGAGTTTAGTTGTATAAAATTTTTATCCGATATATTGAAAAGAAAAAGGACATGCCTGTACAATTTTTTGATAAATTTAAGTTTAACGTTAGAAATGTAAAATGACTACTTATTTTTAGTCTCTCTCTCTCTCTCTCTCTCTCAATTCTATAGAATTAATGATTCCACTCTTGATAATGTTATATAATTCCAAACACGCAGGGAATACGAAATGTCATTATGAAACGTCAAGATTTAAACGTAGCTCTAGCTCAACTTGCATGGAGCGCATTGCTGGAATCAGTCGATTAAATTCGCGAATTACATATTTGGAATTCGATACAGTGTCCTTCGACGCTAATCTCACGCGTCGCCGGCGACATCGCGGTTTCTCGAATTCGCAAATTGCGCGTCAGTATAATTCGGCGCGAATTTACGGTTGTCGCGTATCGAGCTATTCTGGGTGTATGCGCGCGACCGTCCAAACACGAGGCGAAAATGGATGCACGAACGTACGGGAATTAACGATGTACGGCGTGTGTGCCCTCAGCGAAACGCAAATAGCAATGCGAACGCAACGGCAGTCTAGCGAGATTCGCTCAACCTGTGGACGTGTCAAACCCGTTCGAGCGTCCACGTGTGCTGTTCATCGACACGTGCGCGCGCGCCAGTAACACAATCAACCGAGTTGAAACAAGAGAGATGCACGAATTTAATAGGATATTGATATTTTATTTGTATTATATATATATATCGAATGCCGTGCGGCACAAAAACGGCCAATGCTGTATGTTTGATATTTCTCTCAAAAATTATTGTATAATGTGTGTGTATAGTATATCTACAATGTTTCAGGAGAAATGGCCAATTGTATTTTAAGACTTGATTGTACACATCATTTTAAGCAAAAAAGTTTATATAAACGTGTCCTATTCTTACAGTTATAAAAATATATACGTGCGTTCAGTTTAAGAACGAATACATTTATTAACTTAATAGAACCTTAATAGAAATTCTGTTAAACAATTACATTAAATTTCAGGTTACAGTAAATTTGAATAATTAATAAATAATAATTTGAATTTATTGAGATGATAATTTTGTCATAAGTGAACGAGGCATTTTAATGATTTTAATTACACCAGAAATCAAAAATTTCAAATTAACGCATGACTTGTCAAATGTGACCTAATATTTACATTCGTAACCATGGTAACATAAAATGACGAAAATTTAATGTAATTGTTTTATGACATTTGGTTTTATTATATAAAACCAAATTAATAAATTATTGGTTCTTAATATCGGACGCATTGTATTTATAACCATCTAGAATAGGACACATGTTTATATAAACTTTTTTGCTTAAAATGTGTACATTCAATAGCATCAGTAAAAGTGTCGCTTACGTTAATCGAGGAAGTTACTTATATTTTTGAACAAATTGACGGCATAAATTAATGACACAAATTAACGATAAATTAACGAAATGCAAGTAATTAATTTCTATTGTAAAACTATAAATGAGGTAAAATAAATTTAATCATACAAAAATCTTGTTATTACAAATAAAGACTTTTCATAAATTTAATATTATAAAAATTATAATAGATATTATAAGTCGACATACATTTCTGCATGTAAAAAATCTAATTCCGTAATATGTATATAAATATATATATAAAACAAAATATTTGATACATCGCGATTTGTTATGAGATTAGAACAAGAATAACCGTCTTTATTTAAATAATTCTTGATAACATGATAAATGTAGCCGTCTCGTATAAATTGCTACGATCAGTCAACGTAATTATAGCCGCAATCGTTTTTGCGCTTGAAAGAAAGTTCGCGTCATCCAATAAATATGCAATGTGTAGTAGTGAAATGGTAATTAATGGATAATCTTCAATGTTTCCTTCGGATACCATCCATCACGATGTTCCCGTGAGATTAATCTCGCTGATATGATATCAGCATCGTAACCATACATGTTGTAACAAGGATGTGATAGGAACGTATGAAAATGTGATAGAAAGAAAAGGAAGAAAAAAATGAAAATTCTGATTTGTGACATTCGATTAAAATGATTTTTATCATCACACTATTTATAACATATTTAGATATTAGATAATAATATTATTATTTATTCTTTTATTTGGATAAAATCGAGATTGATGATTTCTTTCTCGGAAAGCAGACATTACCGTTGGGTTATTTCTTACGCGTTAGAGACGCGTCGAAGGGAAATACAATGCCATACTTTCTGCATCCATAGAAATATAATGCCACAATTAGATGCGCGTTAACGTACGCTTCAAGAGACACTTTAGTCGAGCGAGAGCTTGGTTGTCGTCTACTTTGTCATTACAGAATGAGAACTTTGGAAATTCGCCCACGTGGATAATTCGACGACGCGACTGCATGCCTTATTCTCTCATTTCTATTCTTTCTCTCCATTTCTCCTCTTCGCTTATTCTGGTAATGTGGATGAGACTGCAATTTTCAAATTTAATTCTCTTAACTAGAGAATTTGGTTAATTATATATAGCAGAGAGTAGATTAATTATTAGACTTATATCTTGGATAAAGTTTACAGAAATCTGTGTAATCGTGAAGAGAATTATAAAATATAAATAAAATTTAATACAATAAGTTGAAGATAGAAATTAAAGTCGTGAAATATAAAATTAAATATTTATGATTGAATTTGTGCAACAAAATTATAGGATGTATATTTCGAGACATTTTCTCTAATTGATATAATTATATTCGCGATATTCGTGCGCATGAGATGCAAGATTCATGGAATCCCGGAAATTAGATGCGCCGTTAATTGATCAACGTCGACGGTTGCATCTGGTCAGCCGCTAATAATCGCGATGCCGCATGGACTTCAACCTTGATAAGAAGCGACTTCGCCCGATCGATGTGCCCGCCGCGGTGGTTAATTAATGTTCTCGGGTATTTGCGTCGCGAGACTGGGCCCGATCGATAAATTTAGGACGGCGTGGAAACCAGTTTGCGTGTAACACAGAATAATTGTCGGTAAACTATACGAAGGGCGCGCTGAAGATCTATTTAGGAGTTACAAAGCGTTCCCAAGCCTAGGACAAAGTTATATATTGCTCGGATTAAATTAATTAAAATTTATCCGATCAAATTTATGCTTATATATAATTAATATTTGCGCGTGTAAATTTGTGAGAACGGGACCAAATGTCGAAAACTCTCTCGTGAAATTGTTAATTTAACGCGAAAACTTTTAAGCAAAACGTTTCGATAAAAATCGATGTATGTATATAAACCTTTATACTAATTATAATAATTATATAGCAATTTTCTTCAAATAAATCTTGCAACTTTTAAATTGACATATTTATCTAATGAAACCTAGAGTTATTATTGTTATACGTGATATGATTTATGTTTTCAATTTTAAAAAAATACATACGGATAAGGCTTAAAATTTCTGAGTAATTCTCTTTATGATTCTTCTTATTCGACATATCAATGCAGATCGCAAGATTAGTGCAAAATAGACTTTCGTTTTGTATTTGAGTTTTTAGATTATCAATAACTCCGACCGCGCGCGCGTTAGAGTTGTCTTCCTCAATTTTCCTACCTTTATTTCACAGATGTTGCATGTATGTATCGGCCTTATTCGAGAGTTTGCAAGTTCTAAGGCCGTGGAGCAAGGTACTTTAAACTGATTGCGAGTGATGTGTCGGTGTATCATGCTCAACACGACGTAGCAATCAACTTGCCATGGCGTCTTGGGTTTTGATACAACTCTAGCGCAGTATATGTGTTCTATGCATTTATGAATACTTACATCAGACTCGAGAAACATTTCACTACGTTTCTTGTAATAAAACGCATACGATGTTATATATATGTATATATATAAGGTTAACAAAAAGGCGTATAAATTTTGCGCAATATCCACGGATATTAGTTAATTTTCAACGTAACTTTACGCTGCGAGGGAGAAGGGCTACTTATAAAATTACTGCCTTTGAAGAATATTTTCCAGCCGTTCTTCTTCAATTCCATAAAATAGCTGAACATGTTCTCCTTTAATCTAATAAAAACTTTGCTTTCTGTTTCAGATCCATTTGGTGTCCAATCCTCGTACGAAGACAGTTTACTACTTGGTAAGTTCGTTATCCCGATAGTTAGATAGATTATATAACACGAGTATATCTCCGCTTCTCCCTGCCGCAACATATCGAAAGATAGCAGAACGCGGGATGGTCGTGTCTCCCGTTAATCATCGGCGTGCTGTTTCGATCGCGATGAAAATTGCAAGGGCCAGATGGGGGTTGCGCAATTGTAATCCGAGAGACGCATACGGACGCACGTAGTTTCAAATTCCACAGGTGAGGACGAGGATACCCGGAGGATTCCGCTTCACGGATTTCCGAGTTAACTCGCGGCCCGACTCGGCTATTTACCGACGCAATCGTTTGGTAACTCGAGCATTGTCGATCACGGGAAAATACGGGAAAGTTCTCTCGAATCTGACCCGGCGGAATAGAGTCGACTTGTTGAGACACGCTCGAATTGTGCGTACTATACCACTTCCATGCTCCTCCTAGTTCGTCTCGATCCGTTGCCGAATCGATATCTTTGCGATCGTGCTAAATTGCCTCCCTTATCTGGGGAAATTCCTCGGCAAACTTTTAATCTACTTCCCGGCTGAGTCTCCGATCTTCCGAGCTTCTATCGTTTCGCGCATCGCTTCCCTTTCTTTATCGTTCTTCCCTCTAATATACTAATGCGTGCCGCTCTTTCTCGATACCGCGCCGTCATTCGATATTTCGCACGAATGCTTTTTATTCTGCACGAAAACTCAATTAATCTCAAGATGTTTTTCTCTTCCTACGCGGAGAAAAATATCTTCTATGTTTATCGACCACCTTTCATTTTTCTTTTCCGCTCCGTCATCTTGTGCAACATATCTTCTAGTTCAACGAATTTGAAGCTCGTTACTTGAGGAAATTTCGATGGAAGATCATCATTCATCATAATCTATTTTTAAGTGTCAATATATAGTATTTTAATAATCAAATTTAGCTTACGGTTTTTTAACTATTTTCTTCCGTTAAATGAGAATTTTCTAATTGTTATTGCAGTACTTAAATTCTACTTTTTTAATATCACCGTATATAAATTCACGTCATAAATGTGAACGAACGGCAAACTCAATAAAAAAAGTTACTTACGGTGTTTCCAAGCTATCGAATAAGTTAGCGCGCGTCCGTTGTTGTTGAAGTTGTTAGGGTGATTTCTTTCTTCGAATCACGCACTAAGTCTGCCAACGTATCCGAAATGGGCTCAGAGGTTCTAATTTCGGCCAAATCCGTTTTACTCTCCCTACTCGTCCATTTCTTTTCCCTCGTGACAGTTATATACATCGATTCTTCGCCGACCTGGGTCAGATAATTGCTTCCACTATCGAAACATTGTTGTTTCTCCACGAGAATAAATAGTTTTTGCTGTGCAATATTTATATTTGAGGAAAATTTTACATTTTCAGAATTAAAATTGTTAAGTATTTTTATGCGTAACATTAAATTTTTTTTTCAAAAATTTTGCAACATCATTTCTGCCAGTTTATCTCTCTCAACTTGCACGATGTTTTTAAAATACGTCTCTTCCGAATTAATCCAATCATATGTGTGTTTGTGATTTTTCATCTCGTAAACTGTAGCGAAATACAGCAGGGAAAAACGACCGAAGTTTGTCTATTAAGGGAACTTGGGACTCGATGTAAGTACATAAGCACGTAAGCAGGAAACCTCTTCGTGCTTCCAACTACCTCGAAGGACGCAATTACATATTTCTTAATGTATACGGCGCACGTGCTTAGATTACGCTTTTGCATCTTACGATAACGCGATGAGGCTCAAGAAGCAAATCACATTAGCAAAACAGATATTTATTAAATACTTGTTGTCTTATATATTCATGCAGTATTTTTCTAAAAAAAAAAAAAAAACATCGACATAAATTTATATTAATAATAATCCTGATGACAGTTGTTTTAATGATAAAGATTTTTTTTAAACTTACTTTGCACATTTTGCAAAATGGAACTCGAGCAATTTGATTATATGCTTATTTTTGTTTTATCAATCTGAATTACAATCTTAATTTCTCTAACTTCTACTTTCGCGGATATATTTATTCAAGCCTGGAAAATAATACGATCTGGATAAACAGAATGATTTAGCATTTTGTAACGTATGATAATGATAAAACATCGGCCCCTTTTTGGCAAACATTATTTTCTTTTGAGTCAAGAATCTGTAAAAATGGCACAAAGGTCATATGGCGTACCCCAAGTATTACCCAAGATTCTCCTGGGAACGTAAAACAAGCAGACCTAATGCTCACGGGATAGCAATATGGCAGCAGCGGCCGTGAAGCATTTGCTCCCTTAATCTAACGTAAGACGGTGCCTGAGGCGGATTATTGAATTGTGAAGGCTGTTCTTTTCGGTAACAATACGTCTTATTCTCGGGATATATAATATCTTTTTAAAAATAAAGAAGGCACATTTACGAGGCGCTTGTTTCCCTAAATTATTCGCTCGAATATTTATTTAATTATATAAGAGAGATTATCGCGCATCTTGTTGCTAAAAATATATTTTCTCGTGTAATATAATAAATCGTATTGATACATTTAAAACGAGACGAAAGATAAAGAATGAGAGAGAAATGTTATAATAGTAATATTGATAATAAGTATTGAGAAAAGCTGAAATATTTTTTTGAAGTTTTTCTCTGCGATGTTTTTAACCATAAATCAACCGTATCTATAAATTACTTCTCGTCTTAGGAAAATATTACACAACTATTTCTTTCATTAGTAACTTTTTCGCTCTTTACAATCTGTTTCTATCAGATATATTTATTCAGGAAATTTTTTAATGAGAAAATGAAGATCCACGTAGATATGGCGGTAATGCTCTTTATTTAAACGCAATGATTCTTTATATTTGTTAATTTAGAATTTGCAATTTACGGACATTATAATCAGATTTATCGCGAACATTTAACATTTTTTAATAAAAGAATAAAATATGATCTGCACTTTCGCGCACGACCGAACCATGAATCATTTCTGTATAGTTATGTGACATCCAATATTATCGGATGTTCCGTGATGCGGAAAATATTGTCGACGCAGATGCGCCATTATGCGGGCGAGAAATAAGATGCGCGCGAGATCGGTTGATCTGCAGACCCTTCGGAGATCGTACAATTTCTGTGGAAAGAGACAGCTAGGTCTAGCATCTTAGCCACCCTGTAGGAAAGTCTTGTCTTTCCGGTCGGCGATCGCGACGAAATAGAGAACTCCCTATTCACTCCATCTACCCTTCTTCACATCTTTTCTCTCACCATCGAGGAGAAGAAATCGATTTTCTTCCACCTTAGGGGAACGACACGATCCTCACGAAATAGCTAGTCGCATTTATTCTAACGACTCCCAGCAGAGTCGACGAATGCTATCGAACGAAACGATACAGTACGTAGTTTCTAGATTTTAGGACTAACAGTATATAGGAATATATATATATATATCGCGGTGTGTTTGTGTGTGTCGTGCCATAAATCGTAAAACGACATGCGATAAAGTTTTTGATCTCTAAGTGAACATGTGCATACTTAAGTCTCTTCTTAATTGCTTTATTATTAGCGCACATTTTTTAATATATCTATTCTTTATTCTGTTTATATTTATTCTAAAATGTATAATTAAGATAAAAATAATATTCATATAAAAATATACATTTTAAAATAATACATTAAAATTGAATACTGAAAAAGATAAAGTTTAATTATTATTATTGCTACTTTTTTTTATATTAAAAATACGTGCTTTTCTCTGAGATAACTTTCATTTTCAACTTTGATTAATAACATTTCTTGTTTGGTTGATGCATTTAATAGCAACATGCTATCAATTAAAAAGATAAAAGCTGTTGACAGCTTCTTGCACTTAACAAGAAATTTGTGAGACTCGTTGAAATCGATTTTCTTAAGATTAGGGGAATGATTTGTTTTTACGAGATACCTAAAAACATTTATTTTTATGGTGCCGAAGGCGAGTAAACGATGAAATAAACATATAATAATGATTCAATATTGGGGAAGAGTTCCGACGAGGGCTCTTGAGATATTGGCTCTCAGAGAGTTTAAAGCAAAAAATATATATGTGCATATGTTATGTAAAATGTACTTGGATATCAAAATATATCAGTGATCGAAATTTGTTTTGCTCGTTACTTAATGGAATCTTTGATCTTACAAGCATCAAAAAAATGTATAATAGAGATTACAAAAAAGTATATATATAAAATTAATCTAAATGTTAGAGTTTTAATTTAAATAATATTATATTAATTTATGATTTATGAGATTTATGATATTTTCTGTTTGCGAATATTCTACTTATATTATAAATTATTATATATATTATAAATTATTGGCATAATTTTATAAAAAAAATAATCGATTAATAAACCGGCGATTTTTTTTCAAATTTAAGAAAAGGTGTCTTCCTTTCTCATTTAATATTAATAAAATTATTTTTAAATTAAAAAAAAAGCTTCTCTCGGAATTTTAGAATGAATTGTCGTTGTTGATTTGTTGTCATCACCCTAGACATTTTTTTCTGTCGGTAGAATTCTATCTCGTGCATGTCACTCATCGAGAAGAATCGCAATTCAGATTCCCAGATCGATTTCCTTGGGATTAGAGTCTGCTACGCCAGTATTCCATATATGTATATATAATCCTGTTTTTTTTTTTTTTTTTTTTTTTTTACAAGAGCTGTAAGGCAAAATATAAATTTTAATAATATTTTTCAGTTCATGCGACATTCACATTTTTATTAAGATATTTTCGAGAATGTAATATTGTTTGCGTGTTTTTTTAAACCTTGTTATTACAAGAAGAAATATTTGCTCACAAACTTTGACTCTTTTATTCGCAAAGCGAATAGTTTTAAATGTTTGCAATGTACTCGTTTTGCAAGCAATTCTAAGGATAACGTAGCGATATGAATTGCATAGCTTTCGTAATATTCTCTTTATAGCATGCTGTTGATATAGCGACAGACGCATCTTTTATTTATAGGGAAT